TGCCAATGAAGGATGAGCAGGTCGTTTTCGATATTAGTTCAGAGCCTTTCGCACTGGGAAACTCCTCAATTGACTTACAACCGATAAGTAGTCGTTTTGAAAAATCTTAGCTTTTTTCTTTATAAGGATTAAAAATTCAGCTACCTCAATTCAACATGAGCTCTTGTTTCAATTATTCTGGACTAAAGTTGCCCACCTGTCATCCAGGCGCGCTTTCACAACCGGGTAGGTGATTGTTTTTTGTATTTGGCCATTAGTATTTTATATTTTCGCTTATATCTTTTTTTCAATGCACAGCTTTGTTGGAAAAAGATTGATTGGGTCTCCTGTTTGGGTTACGGTAAGCATGACAAACAAAGTCCGGCCGAACCAATCTCCATTTACATCCTGTTTTGTCGATCAGCTCCGACACCGAACCAACTTAGCTGAAGTGCATTTCTTCTACGATTTCGTACGCCTCGCAGCCAATCCTATCATCATCCTTTTCGATCCAACCATAAATGTTTTGAGAAATTTTTTTTTATTTTAAATCATTTCGAGCTAACAATAAACCGCTTGTTTTCAGTTATGAAGTTCTCCCAATAGTTTTATAAAGTCATTATTAGCATTGTATTTACAATATACCATTGTTTTTGATAGGACAAACAACCCAGTAATTTTTCGTAAAATAAAACTTGATCGTTAGGGTTTCTTTCGAATATGGGTCCTTCTGTAGAATAATTAATCTCTATCCAAAAGTTTCTTCGCTAGTGCAACGTGGATTTCGTAATGCAACCTGAAGAAGACAAGTGCGCTGTAATTGTTGGCTGCAGCCATCCTGTATGGCGAATGTCTGCAAAGAAATGCTCACTTCTAAGACTAAGCCTAGAAAAAAATCGCATTACAAATTGTTGTCAAGGTAGCGGATAAAGAATGGCACATAACGACTGCTTGTCCATGTCGAGCAATCATTGTCCGTCCGCTCATGCACTACTGGTTGTCCCAGCAAGCTCATTATCGCAATCACGTCGTCGTCGTAGTCGTCCTGGGGCTCTCGATTACCTGGCGATACCGTAGACGATATTGATAGTTTAATTGCTCTATTATGCTCTAAACGCGCGCACTCTGACCACACCGGTGCCGCCGTCTGTTGAACTAAGCGGCCGCACTCCGCCTCCGAGCCAGCTGCGATTGTGGACTACTGTATCCGATGGACACCATCCGCTGTGTAAACACTGTCGGGCTTCTATCTGCATCCGGAACGAACGAATGTGATGAAATAGAAAGAACCGAGACCAGCACTCGTCGAGGAGAGGTTCGCGATTGATGCTCCCAACCACGAAATTGGTCGCTATTTTGGATAGCAAGCGAGAATTTCTTCAGAAGCCACACATATTACCTGTTTATTGTATCAAAGTATTTACAAAGTCTGGAAAAAACCTAGGATTTGAAGTTTTGCTAAATAGAATTCCAGAATTTTCTTCTTACAATGAAATCCCTTCATGTTAATTGATTTGTTGCAACCTGCTAATTCTTGAGAGAAAAGTAATGATAGTATGTAAAACACGGAAACGTGCTAATTTTTAACCTTGACATTTATATGCATTCAAGCACAATGCTCTATGCATTTTTCACTTTATATGATTCATCATCGGATCTTCAGTGTGAATCCGAACACTTCCTGCATTCGCAGGGTTCAGGGTCCATTGTTCATCGGCCATAAGGGCTTTCGAACATTTCGCATGTTGTTCCGGCTGCTGCTTGAGGATTTCGTCTTCTTTATATATGTTGCATCCTACGTAGTTTAGAGGAGATTGCTAAGGAAAGGATCAAACTGGCCCGCTTGCTCCCTGAGCTCATCAACCACTGCGCTAACCCCGTCCCAATGAGGTCCACAAATTTTGACATAATATTGACTTCAATTTTAAACAACATTTGTATATCAATAAAATTTGCACTAGAGCGTTGAGATTGTAGATCGTTTAAACTACTCCACCTTCTTCGAGATATAGTATGACAATCAATTAAGTGTGAATTGTACGCCTGGTCTACAGAGTTTCTATCATTGGGATTCAAAGAAGGAGATACTTTCGTTAGCCATCTATGAAGCGGTAACGCTCAATCAGTTCTGAAAGAGGGAGCCAATCGAATGAAGTTCGTTTCCGGCCCGACGGCACTGAAGGATGCGTAACGTGGCTGCATAACGAAGTGTTAGAACAAGTGCAATCATGAGCGTGTTGAGGTCGTGCTGAGGACGATTGCCGGCAATAATGTTAGCCTTGAAGCATCCACAGCACAAGGGTTAGCTCTATGGCCCAGTGCTAAGGTTAATTAACGCCGAATGTGCTCTCTTATGCAACTGTCGACGAGCCTGAGAAACCCATCCGACAGCCAGGTGCACGTGCATCAAACCCACTTAACACCTACTTTAAGCCTGCGTTATATGGCTAAAGCTGTGCCGAAAAGCCAATCGGACCCGATGACTATAATGATAGGTTACCATCCATCATAAGCACTTAAGATGACCGTTTAATGTCTCCAAAGCACCTTTTGCTGATTGCATAGCCATTTTTTTCGATAGGAATTTATTGCAAAGATTCGGTAACGGTCACTAACTACATCGAGGTGGCGTATTTACAACACTGACCACTGTTTCATCAACAATACCGCGGATGGTTGTTGTCGAATTCAAAATAAAAAGCTTCAACTCTTATTCATGCAGGAAATGCTGGGGTACCTCTACTTGGGGCGCTAAAGAGCAAAAATATCCGTAAGAAACACAGACGTTTGAAGAAACTGGTCTTTCTTCTAAATCGATTTCTTTTATGATTCAAAAAAAGGTGGAGAAAACTCCAGCACTATAATACTTACCTCTATGACATGTGAACCGAAGTTGGCAAAAAATAGTCAAAATTTTTATTTGAGCAATAAAACGAATGAGATCTATATTAATAATCATATCATCTCTAGCCTTCGCTCCCTCACTGCCAACGAGCGATCGAATTACGCCTGCGCCGCGCCTTCACTTTCAGGCACCTTTTTCTTGCAGAGTCTTTCAGTCTAGTTTTTCCACCTTGCAGTCTGGAAGCTCGGCGTACTTGGTGCATCTACTGTCGGTCAACACTGGTATCATTGTCTTCAGGTTATTCCTTATTCTTTCGACGTGGGGATGTGCCGTGAATTATACGATTTTCGACTTATAATGGTGGTCTGTTCGACAAATAGAGGAATACTAGTTGTCGTTACGAAATTACCCTTTGTTGGTTGGTTTTCGATGAACTTCCAATCATCTGCCAACATATTAGTTGTGTTTATCTGGAGCACCACTATTCTGAGTGAGAGGAAACAGCTATTCTTTATTAAAGTTATCACAAATTTTTTGACGCAACACGTAATACGGTAAGGTCGAACTGGATTATAACACGAGCCATACCTTGTTGGCTCACAGCTACTAATCAGAGCAGTCAAACTTCAATGTTTAATCAGAATCGATTAGGTGGTCTGAATATGGCTGATTGTGAAACAGATCAGTGGAGATCATGTGGTAGTCTAAACGACAACGATAAATCTGATGGTGGTGGCTGTGTTTTATCGAGAAGAAGGTCGAACTGGTGCGATTTGTCCACAGACACGCCATATGTTGGCGCTAATCGCTTTTTGCGCATGACTAATCTCGTTCGTGTCTCAGGTGGTTCCTTTTTACCTAATTATCCATTCTTTACGGTGCGGTTATATCCACCTGTATGCGATTTAACACCGTGCTAACATAGCACAGCTGTGATTTCTGTGCTTCTTGATGACCTTAACGACCTTCACTAACCAACCACCCACTAACAAACCGCATTACATCAACCACTAATTACACTAATCTGTTTTGTTGACCTACCGTATCCGACGAGACTCCAAGTCTACGTCCCTTCGGCCAATTAGCGTGATTCTTGACTGCAAAATCAGGAACATTCACACACCCACACATACATTTCTGCACTTGTTTGCGACGTCTATCACATCGCCACGAATTGAATTCGGCCGTGATTAGAATTTCAGCAAAGTCGAAGAGAACTGAGAAGAGATATAGAGAAAGAGTCAAGAAGTGATGCGAACAGACACTGACATCATGTCGTAGAGCGACGTATAAGCGGTTAATAGACAATCGTGGAATGCAAGACAAGAGGCTGTTGATGAGGAAGAAGAAGCTTCACTTCATTAGATCTGCTCTGCTCCATCAAATCAAACGCATGAAATCGGCCGTAGGGAACCGACTTCCTTTTAACCTCACTGTTTACCATTACGTTCCCGTATCCTTGAAAAACCTTCAGGAATTCGACTCAGCATGTTTTGTTAAAAGTTGGCGATTGTACTGAACTCGCCTTCTTTAAAACAATTTTATTCATTCATTCCAATATGTGTTCCCAGCTCAGAGTCCATATGAAGTGAAAAATGGACAGAATGTTGTGTAAAGAAAAGCAAGCGATTTTGGCTTCATGCGGTAGGTAATATAGCAAGGGACACGGTGCTCATGCAATAGACATAGTGGTTGTCACAGTCACACTGTGATTTATAGCAAGGTAATAAAAACTTTATATAAGCCAAAAATGCCGGAGAGCTTTTCGAAAGGCTCAAATTCACTGGCTTCTTCTGAAATGGCAAGACGTTCAGTTTTCTTGGTCGATTTTCTATAGATATATCTCCAGGCAAGGCGATACGAGATTTTTTCGTTGCATTCGATTGACCTCTGAAGGAGCAACTAGGTGTTACTGATTGTGAACGGTTTCAGATCCTTATCAAATCCTCGGACCTACATGTAGTCGTCTTGCGCACTCAGGTGAGCGGTTTAACAGAAATACTATATTGTGCTGAAAATGAAACTTTTTATTACTTCTTAAAGTATTAGTAAAACTCCAGTTTGGATTTCGTGCTTCTAAAAGGGTAACGCCGTGTGCTTTTCTTTCATATCCCGGTATTTTCTTCATCAAACCACGTAAAATAACGAACATCAAAGGTAAGATAGACAAAATTTAATGGAGAAATCGAAGAATGTTAAAGGCAGCGGACAAACGCAGTTATGGCAATTTCTGCTTGAACTACTCGCCGACAAGCGGTACGACGATGTGATCACATGGGAAGGGACGCAAGGCGAATTCAAACTGGTCGATCCAGACGAAGTGGCCAGGTTGGCATGGACACAGTTGCCTTTAGTCGAATAGGAAGGGCATCCGTGAGCACAGATCTTTTGTCACGCAAATAACTGAGTGAATTTTCTGATAGAACTAATCGGTTATGTAAACAAACTAAGAGGCTTACCTGTAAGCAAAGAACTAAAATTGAACTCTCGTAGTCCACAACATCCGTGGAGAAATTCAGTTTGCAAAGAGCTTCAGCATTTCCTATTTTTTCGAAACCAAAGAGCATACACAAAAGAATCTATGATGACTTGTTTAGGAAATGGGGCGAGCGAAAATCAAAACCAAACATGAACTACGATAAGATGTCTCGTGCACTACGCTACTATTATGACAAAAATATCATGTGTAAGGTGCACGGTAAAAGATACGCCTATAAATTCGATTTCCAAGGTAGGTGATGTTTCCGGCGCCAAAAACTGTATTAAGTACGACTAATTTAGTTTGTTGTTTTCATATCTTTATTTAAATCTTTTAAAATTCGTCTGCTACTCAATAAAGCTTAACTATGGTGACAATGAAATCTGAACACTTGGGAAAGATGTCCAAATTCGCTGCAATTACTTCTCGTTAAGGAATTGCGCAAGCGCTACAACCTCAAACTGGCAGCAACGGAGCCGACTGCTTATCGCCACAGACGGTGAATCGTCTTCAACAGGACTTTATGCAAGGCGGATGGTCAGCCAACTATAGATCCCTGATTCCGACTGGCTTACAGGTGGCGGAATAGGGTCAATTACTATCCACAATGCATTATGTAAAAAGCAGTGAATTGCATGAAAGGCGGAGAAATCGCTTCCTCAATGCTTTGTGAATGAAAAAAAAACTGAAACCAAAGTTGAGAAACTGTAAGAACGTGGAAAGCTTGATTTCTGGGTGACAAGTATGCAAAATTAAAGATTTGTCAGCACTTTATTTTTCCGAAAAATTTCACGACCCCTTTCAAAAGCTCTAATGTGGTTGTTGAACCGGTTCAGTGGCGACATTCGTGGATCCATCTCCTTTCATTCCCATCATGGACATAAGTAACCTTTAAAAAGAACTATCTTGATATGCTTAGTAGAGAAAAGAGCAATTAAACTTAATCTCTTCTCTTTTGCACTTACTGAAAATCAAAAACGTTTATTAAAAATCGAATTTGAAACCTTCATTGCGTGCAATGCCTACAATTTAGTCGTTCAATCTTTAAAGGTGGACAGAGCTTTTTTCCTTAATTTCTTACCTTACGTTATGAGCCGTTATCCATTAGGCTTCTTCATCTATGTGACTGTCCAGTAACTGTAATCCAGGGCTGTATCAAAATTTGTTTGGAGGTAATATGGCATAAGATTTTGATGCTGAGATAATAAGTTGAAATTGTGATTTCGACAACAGCTTCAGCTTAACTAGGTTCATTGCCAATTTGGGCTTCTCAGATCAATGACCCGAATGGTGTGTTGGTGAAGGCGTTAGTCCCCGGAAAAGGTAATAGCGCGTTTGCTCCCTACCGCAGACACCTGCGGTTCGCAGTTTTGCAAATATCTCAGCATCACTGAGGCTGTAACACACGTAATATTCTATCGTGAAAAACATATACATACATAAAACAAACAAACAACAACAAACACAACAAACACAAACATACAACAAACATAAAACATAAAACATAAAAACAACACTTATAGGCAGTAAATAATAAGTTATAATATGGTATCCCAAAACGGGCGTGTTGGGACAACTTAATATATTCACCACATGCAGTTGCTGGCCGCTGTGGATGAAACGGGGCTTTTCCCAGAGAAGCTTGATAGTAATTTGTCAACCTCAAAACTATGGAAATCTTAGTAGGGTTCGGAGAGTTGTTAAATCCGTGTCATCGTGCGAGCTTCAGGGCAGCTCTTGCGGCGGTGCCAAACTCGTCTCCAGTCTCTTACAATTTAAGAAGTGAAAAAGAAGATCGAAATATATTGCTTCTTAGTATTTAAAATCAAAATTCTAACTTGCTGGAGTTTCACAAGTTTTAGAAACATATTCTGGACGCGATTTTCCTTCACAAACCAAAAGTGTTCTACGTTATCATTTTTTTGCCTCCTAATGAACCTGATATCGTAATTTTCTACGGCTGTGGTGGTGATTGCTACTCATGTTCGCTCTTAAAAAAACAACTGCACTTCATCACAGTTTTTAAGTAGATTTCTCACCACAGATATTAACATAGGAGCCATTATTTCAGACAAGCGGTGCCTTTTTCAATCCCTCAACGATGGGTTATAGTGGCTTCGGTGGTGCGAACAACACAGCTCTGCAAAGAAATTTCCCAATCTATGGATCGAACATGACTAGCTACTCGAAATGCCTGTGATTCACATACGTCAACAATTCTGCTGCTAACAAACTCTATAGCTCTTTGTATTGATGATCTCTAACCGCGAAAGTGTACGGTTAGCAGTATTGTGAAGTGGATAGTATGTCGCATATTACTGTAGGAGTATTAAATTCACATACATTCTAGTCAGACAACGTAAATATTCATGACGGGAAATGCTTTATTCGTTATGTACATATGATACGACTATCACATATAAAGAGAAAAAGGGTGAGATTGTTGCTTCAACACGGTGTTGTGGCCCACTCTGGTTCGGTCACACTTCGCTCTTAAGCGATTTTGGTAGCATTCACCTCGTCTATGTTGCTCTTTCAATGTCGAGTATAATTTGAGAAGTAAATTCTGATGCTTTGCTTTATACACATTACAACAAACGGCAATCACAGATCTGCGACTGATACATTCTGCTACCTTCGGTGGGTGCTGTAATCACATCTGATCACAAGACTGCTCTGATGGAAGTTGTTCGCTTTACCAATGCAGCTCAAGAGGCACTCCACTTATCAAGCCGTTCTATCCTTCCATTTAATTCCAGATTTCTAAATTATTTTTTCTACAGCACTGTTTTCTCGCTTTCTCATGTCGTATACTTTCTTTGACCTCTTTTGGTCCTAAGCTCTGCTCATTGGCTTAACTCATTTACACAACATGGTGACAGCACTCACCTTGCACACCTAGTCTGGGTCATTGTTGACAAAATATTTTATAAATTCTAACTGACGGTTGTTTCGTAAGAGATAGTAGAGGCAACATATATACTGAGCGAAACGGCAACTTTCGCTTGATCTCAACGTTTTTTTCCTACAAACCAAAAAAGAGGCTTATTAGCATACATCCTACTTTGTGAACAATTTTTATAACCACAACAAAAACACTACAAACCTAAATTTCAACTGCGTAGCAAACAGCTTTGAAGGCATCCATTCCTTTTGTCATTACAAGGTACCACACTTTCATTCTCTGTTTTGGACTTTTTTGTTGACTCAAAACATTTCAGAAATTATACGACTAATTGTCTTCAATTTTTGTATCCTGAGGTCACTTGGTGGAAAACTCCTCCGAAGTTTCTGTCCTCCATACAGCGGTTCCTCCCTCCATCAAGCACAAGGTGATTTGCGCGTTCCACCTATAGTCATCATTAAACACCCTATGGAAAAAAATTCAGAAGGTGGACAAACTCATGCGGACTCGGTGCTCAATCACCTATGAAGCGCCTTCTAGTTAAAGTGAGATGTAATCGAATAGCACTATTCATGCGTTTTCCTTGCACTGATTCTGATGTCCTCCCTAACCACCCCACTTCATGTACAATTTTTTCACTGGCTGCAAAAGAATTTTTAAAAAGCTATCTCATCCATGTTTCCCACATTAGTTGAGAAATACTCTGGAATAACTTTATTTAGTGGACTGATATCTAGAGAGTCCAGTTGATTGATGGGGGTCATCATTCATGCGACCACCTTCTCTTCGTTACTGCTTCACTTCGATTCCTCACTTCTGCTTGCAGAATAGAGTTATTGAACTCACGACACTCATCATCGACGTTTTAACTAAAGTGATCAACGCAAGAGGCCTCGCATTCCACATAGCGTTTATTTGCAGTCGAATCTCTTAGCGATCTGGAGATAACTGTGCTAGGGTATTTTCAAGTGGATTCAAGGGAGTGATTCTGCAAATCTGGCACCAGTTTGAAGACTTTGGCGGAATGGGAGAATTAGTGAACTAGGTGCGTGGTCGAAGCAGCACCATGCTTGTGATGGACGGTATCGCTATAAAGTAATTCATCAGAGCCGTCAACGTTACAATGCTCCCTTTTGCAGCGGTACCACGGCTTTCTATTGAGGATATGAAGAGTTCACAGAGCTTTTTCTACTCTGATCGAGGTACTGCCAGTACATTGGATCGTTCACATCATATGATAGAACCTGCAGTAAACAAATAGAGTAGAAGCACTAAATTAATAAATTTTCTATCTTTCTAATAATATGCTTATTGGTTCACCGCGAGATATTTACCATAATGATAGTTTGAGGACAAGTTCTGCAGATTTCTGTTGCCGTATCCGTTCCCGTTCTTAATTGGTTTCCTTGAAAATTCAGCATTGAGTTAGCTGAATGGAAGTTTCTCTTTGGCCCATTCGGAAATTAAAAATAAGGAAAAAGTGTCTAGATTTAATACGTTTGTTCCTCTGAATTTATATTATGCTGATTGAGCCGCATACTGTACTCATTCAACCTCCTTTTCCATTTGAAAATGACACTTTAGTTTGCACTTTAGGTAGACGTGTTATTAATAGCTCCATACCAAATGATTCTTTTAAAAACTGCATACCCAGCTGCCAAAGTGCTTTTTATGTCTTTTGAATGCTCCCAGTTTCATTCATCCACTTCCTCGCAACTCCAGGAAGCAGGAAAATTTTTCATCAAGGATCCTCGTAACTAATTCTTCGTATTTTTGTTGAGCAAACGCGAGGTGATATTTTTATCCTTTATTCACGAATAAGCTAATACGTTTCGGCGGATTTCGCCTTCCTCAGAGACTAGAAAGCTCAAGTTGACAGCAATCTATTCGGCCAAATACCTCCATAACCAAACAGAGAAAACTCTAAACCAAGATTTCAATCACATTTAACACAGCTCCGCCGCACACTCCCCGCTTTCTATGAGTCTTCCACTGAGTATGCCGCGTGAAGGCCGACCGCACAAAATTCACATGGAAGCGTAATGTGCCCCTCCCATCAGAATAACAGGTTTATATACTGTCCAATATCACGCGTGATAATGAGGCATTCCCCCCTGCAGTCCATTTTCGGATTCTTGGAATTAATCCAGAATGCCTCTAGAGTTTGAGCGCTTGTGCTCTCGATTCTTGCGCGAGGATCGTAACCCTTACTTCAAAATCTTCTCCGTTATGTGTCTAGGTCCAATGCGTGCCCAGTGGGGTATTTGGTGTACGTTTGCCGACTAGGTGCTTTTTTATGCAGACACAGAGGGGTCTGCCCGTTTAGCCAACGTATTCGTCCCGAACGCTTTACAGAAGATCAGATAAACTGTACCCGAGCTCATGCAATCACTATCTCTACGAGTATGGCAAATTACGCAATTTTGCGTTGCACAAAGACGGTTATATAGGCGGTTGTGAAATAGCTGGCGCCTAAGTGGTATTTCAACTACGTTTACCGAATTCCCAAGACCCGCCCTTCTTAAGCAGCGTCTTATATCTGCACTTACATCATTTGAGATGAACGGTAGAATAAACAGGACCTTTCATCGCTAGAGCTGCCGTTTGGGGACCTAGGACTTTCCCTACACTTATCCCGAGCTACAGTTTCGTACTCATTAGAAATGGCTATTTGCCGTGCCAAG